AAATCTTAAACTCTGAGATAATCTCCTTTGAATTCATGTCTCACATCCAGGGCACACTGATGCAAGCAAGGGGTGGGCGCCCATGGCCTTGGGCAGCTGCACCCTGTGGCTCTGCATGGCTGGCACTGAGTGCCTGCAGCTTTTCCAGGCACATGGTGCAAGCTGTCGGTGGATCTACCATCCTGGGGTCTGGAGAACGGTGGCCCTCTTCTCACTACTCCACTATGCAGTGTCCCAGTGAAGACTCTTTGAGGGCTCTGATCCTACATTTTCTTTCCACATGGCTCTAATAGAGGTTCTTCATGAGGGCTCTGCCCCTGCAACACCACATGGAAGTCACCAAGGCTTGGGGCTTTCACTCTCTGAAGCAATAGCCTGAGCTGTACCTTGGCCCCTTTTAGCCATGGCTGGAGCTGGAATGCTGGGATACAGGGCACCATATCCTGAGACTGCACAGAGCAGAAGGGTCTTGTGCCTTGCCCAGGAAACCATTTTTCCCTTCGAGGCCTTTGGGGGTGATAGGAGGGGTTACCTCAAAGGTCTCTGAAATGCCCTGGAGACGTTTCCCCATGGTTTTGGCTATTAACATTCAGCTCCTCTTTACTTATTCAGATTTCTACAGCCAGCGTGAGCTTGAATACCTTTCCACAAAATGGATTTTTCTTTTCTACCACATGGTCAGACTACAAATTTTCCAAACTTTTATGTTCTGCTTCCCTTTTAAATATAAGTTTCCATTTCAGACCATCTCTTTCTTTACGCAAAGGAGCATCCAGGCCACATCTTCAAGGCTTTGCTTCTTAGAAACTTCTACCAGATACTCTAAATTATCTATCTTGAATTCAAATTTCCATGGTTCTCTAGGGCAGGGGGAAAATGCTGCCAGCATCTTTGCTAAAGCATAGCAAGAGTGACCTTTACGTCAGTTCCTAGTAAGTTCCTCATCTGAAATTCCTCGTCTTCACTTCACACCCTCAACCTGGGCTTCATTGTCCATATCACTCTCAGCATTTTGGTCAAAAGCATTCTCCAAGTCGCTAGGAAGTTCCAAGCTTTCACATATCTTCCTGTCTTCTTCTGAGCCTTCCAAACTGTTCCAGCCTCTCCCTATTACCCAGTTCCAACGTCACTTCTGCATTTTCAGGTATCTTTATAGCAGTGTCCCACTCTTCTGGTACCAATTTTCTGTATTACTCCATTCTCACACTGCTAGGAAGAACGATCTGAAAGTGAGTAATTTATGAAGAAAAGACATTTAATTCACTTCATTTATTAGCTGACCTCCATAAGTCACTATTTTAACTGGAGGACCACAATGATGCCTTGGTCCCCTAGAATCAATGTCAGCTCAGACCCAGTGTTCAGCAGTCCCCAGCAGGTCTGATCATTTCCTTTTCCCAATGCACAGTTACCCTGCTAAAAGGCTGAAGGTTTCCTTGGGGAAGAATGGGAGAAAGATTAACAGCATAAATTGTTGGTAGTATAGTGGGGTCCTTCCTCAAGGGGACCTGGCCTCCCCATCCATCATTCAAGGGGTTCTGGGTCTGTAAACTGATTCAATTCTGGAAACTGATTGAGGGGCTGTGATTCTCTGTTTTATAATTCATATTAGTCTTTTGTCCATTCAATCTGGAAATTTTCTGCTTATATAAATTAAGTAAGGATGCAGTAGACTTCCTATAAATTTCACTTCTAGCTACACCATGATTAGTTAGCCAATAGTCTGCATGTGTCAGACTTCTGATTGCTGCTTTGCCTCTGCTGTCCATTATGGTAGCTACATCCGCCTTGCCTTTGGTGGTTGACTGCTGCTACTTGGTTCCTGCCACCTTGGGATCCAATTGTTCTCATTGCATTTAAATTTTGTAGTTGAATGACTGCTGTTCCTACTGTAAGATCGGGCACACAGACAGGAGCAATTACAGAGCTCTTCAAGGATGCAAGTGCTTCTCTCACAAATCTGTTATACAAAGTATTGTTCAAGGGTGTATGTATATCTTCTGAACCCTCCCAGATGAGATGAGGGGATCTAAAGTGACCAATCTACTCCAGCATCCCAATCGCCTTAAGCCTTTGGATCCCTTCCTCTACATTAAACCAAAAGAGATCAGACATTTCCAGCTGCTCACAGTGGGCTTTCTTTTAATCCATATTTCATCTAACCAAGCAAATAAACTATTAGAACCTTTTTTCAATTCCCCAAGCTGCAACATTAAATGCAGAGTTCCTGCTTAGTGAGCTCAGATCAATAAATTCAGCTTGATTCAATTCTGTGTTCCTTTCACCATTATTCCACACCTTTAATATCCATTCCCTTGCCTGTTCCCCAGATTTCTGCTTACATAAATTAAAAAACTCAAGCAGTGAATGTCGTTTTAGCTCAGGTCTGACTTACAGTGGGTGCAGTGGGTCCCTGGACTCATCCTGTGGTCATTTCCCCAGTGCCAGGATGCATAATTGGCATAGACATACTTAGCAGCTGGCAGAACCCCCACACTGACTCCCTAACTGGTAGGGTGAGGGCTATAATGGTGGTAAGGGCCAAATGGAAGCCATTAGAGCTCCCTCTACCTAGGAAAATAGTAAGTCAAAAACCATATTGCATTCCTGGAGGAATTGTGGAGATTAGTTTCACCATCAAGGACATGAAAGACACAGGGGTGGTGTTTCCCACCATATCCCTGCTCAGCTCTCCTATTTGGCCTGTGCAGAAGGCAGATAAATCTTGGAGAATGACAGTGGACTATTGTGAGCTTAACCGAATGGTGACTCCAAATGCAGCTGCTGTACCAGATGTGGTTTCATTGCTTGAGCAAAACAACGTATCTCCTGGTGCCTGATATGCAGACATTGACTTGGCAAATGCCTTTTTGTGCATTCCTGTCAATCAGCCCCACTAGAAGCAATCTGCCTTCACCTGGCAAGGCCAGAAATATACCTTTACTGTTCTACCTCAGGGGCATATCAGCTCTCCAGCTTTGTGTCACAATCTTGTTCAGAGGCCTTGGTAATTTTTCCATTCCGCAAGACATCACACCGGTCCATTACATTTGGACTTGGAAGATGCATGATTGGATGACATTGGGCTGATTGGATCCAGTGGACAAGAAGTAGTAAACACAATGGACTTATTGGTGAGAGGTTTGCATGCCAGAGGATGAGAAATAAATCCGAGTAAAATTCAGGAAATTTCTACCTCTGTAAAATTTCTAGGGGTTCGATGGTGTGGAACCTGCCAAGATATTCCTTCCAAGGTGAAGGATAAGTTGCTGCAGTTGGCCCCTCCTACAACTAAGAATGAGGCACAGTGCCTAGTGAGCCTATTCAGATTTTGGAGGCAACGCCTTCTTCATCTGAGTGTGTTATTCTGGCCCACTTACTGAGGGACTTAAACGGCTACCAGTTCTGAGTGGGGTCCAGAACAGGAGAAGGCTCCACAACAGGTCCAGGCTGCTCTGCCACCTGGGCCATATGATGCAGCAGATCCAGTGATGACTGAGGTGTCAGTGGCAGATAGGGACGCTGTGTGGAGCCTGTGGCAGGCCTTCAGAGGTGACTCACAGAAGAGGCCTCTAGGATTTTGAAGCAAGGCCCTGTCATCTTCTGCAGATAACTACTCTCCTTTTGAGAGACAGCTGTTGGCCCGTTACTGGGCTTTGGTGGAAACGGAACGTTTGACTATGGGTCATCAAGTCACTATGTGACCTCAACTGCCTATCATGAACTCTGTTGTATTACCCATCTAGCCACAGATTGGGTAGTGCACAGCAGTGTTCCATCATCAAATGGAAGTGGTATATATGTGATCGGGCTTGAGCAGGTCCTGAAGGCACAAGTAAGTTGCATGAGGAAACAGTTCAAATGCCCATGGTCTCCACTCCTGCCACCTGCCTTCTCTCCAGCAGCCTGCACCAATGGCCTCATGGGGAGTTCCCTATGACCAGTTGACAGAGGAAGAGAAGACTAGGGCCTAGTTCACAGATGGTTCTGCATGATATGTAGGAAACACTCGAAAGTGGACAGCTGCAGCACTGCAGCCCCTTTTCAGGACATCCCTGAAAGACAGGGATGAAGGGAAATCTTTCTGGTGGGGAGAACTTTGAGCAGTGCACCTGATTGTGCACTTTGCATGGAAGGTGAAATGGCCAGACATGCAATTACATATAGATTCATGGGCTGTTGCCAATGGTTTGGCTGGTTGGTCAGAGACTTGGAAGAAGCATGACTGAAAAATTGGTGACAAAGAAATTTGGGGAAGAGGTATGTGGAGGGACCTCTCTGAGTGGTCAAAGATTGTGAAGATATTTGTATCCCATGTGAGTGCTCACCAACCAGTAACCTCAAAAGAGGGGATTTTAATAATCAGTGATAGGATGACTCTCTGTGGACACCACTCAGCCTCTTTCCCCAGCAACCCGTCTTTGCCCAATGAGCCCATGAACAAAGAGGCCATGGGGGAAGGGATGAAGGTTATGCATGGGCTCAGCAATATGACTTCCATTCACCAAGGCTGACCTGGCTACAACCACTGCTGAGTGCCCAATTTGCCAGCACCAGAGACCAACACTGAGCCCTTGATATGGCAACATTCCTTGGGGTGATCAGCCAGCTACTTGGTGGCAGGTTGATTATATTGGACATCTTCTGTTATGGAGAGGGCAGAGGTTTGTCCTCACTAGAATAGACACTTACCCTGGATATGGGTTTGCCTGTTCTGCACACAATGCTTCGGCCAAGACTACCATCCATGGATACACGGAATGACTTGTCCACCATCATGGTATTCCACACAGCATTGCCTCTGACCAAGACACTCCATTTGTGGCTAAAGAAGTGCAGCAGTGAGCTCATGCTCATGGAATTCACTGGCCTTACCATGTTCACCATCATCTCTAAGCAGCTGGATTGATATAACAGGTGGGATGGTCTTTGTGAAGTCACAATTATAACACCAACTGGGTAACAATACTTTGCAGGGCTGGGGCAAAGTTCTCCAGAAGACTATGTATGCTCTGAATCACCATTCAATATATGGTGCTGGATAACAGCCAGGATTCATGGGTCCAGAAATCAAGGGGTGGAAGTGAAAGTGGCACCACTCAACATCACCCCTACTGAACCACTAGCAAAATTTTTCTTCCTGTTCTCACAACTTTATGTTCTTCTGGCCTAGAAGTCTTAGTTCCAGAGGGAGGAATGCTGCCACCAGGAGACACAACAACGATTCCATTAAACTGGAAGTTAAGATTGCCACCTAAATAGTTTGGGTTCCTCTGACCTTCAAGTCAACAGGCTGAGAAGGGAGTTACAGTGCTGGCTGAGGTGACTGACCCTAACTATCAAGATGAGATCAGTCTACTACTCCACAGTGGAGGTAAGGAGGAGTATGTCTGGCATACAGGAGATCCCTTAGGGCATCTCTTAGTATTATGCTCTGTGATTAAGGCCAACGGGAAACTACAACAGCCCAATCTGGGCAGGACTACAAATGGCCCAGACCCTTCAGAGATGAAGGTTTGTGTAATTCCACCAGGAAAGAACCATGATCAGCTGAGGTGCTTACTGAAATCAAAGGGAATACAGCATGGGTAGTAGAAGAAAGTAGTCATCAGCACCAGCTATGGCCATGTGACCAGTTGCAGAAATGATGACTGTAATTGTCATGAGTATTTCCTCTTTCTTCTGTTAAGAACATGTTTGTGCATGTTTACACTTGCACTAAGAAAATATCTTCATTTTATTTCCATTTTCCTTTATCAGGTGACATAAGATTTATTGACTTCATATTAGCATTTAAGTATTAACTTTATGTAATATCATTTGGGTTGGGGATTGTGCATTTCCCATTGTATAAAAGATAGTTGTATTATGTTAGATGTAATTGTGACCTTATTATTATTGTCTTTATTTGAAGATTATGTGTGATTTCAGGAGATGTGTATGGGTTCAAGTTGACAAGAGGTTGACTTGTGATAGTTAATATTGAGTGCCAGGCTGGGCATGGTGGCTCAGGCCTATAATCCCAGCACTTTGGGAGGCTGAAGCAGGCAGATCACTGGAGGTCATGAGTTCGAGACCAGCCTGACCAACATGGCAAAACCCTGTCTCTACTAAAAATAGAAAATTAGCTGGGCATGGTGGCATGCACCTGTGGTCCCAGCTACACAGTAGGCTGAGACAGGAGAATCGCTTGAACCCAAGTGGCAGATGTTGCAGTAAGCTGAGATCACACCACTGCAGTCTAGCCTAGGCAACAGAGCAAGACCTGTCTCAAAAAAAAAAAAAAAAATTGTCAACATGATTGGATTGAAGGATGCCAAGTACTATTCCCGGGTGTGTCTGTGAGGGTGTTGCCAAAGGAATTAACATCTAAGTCAGTGGACTGAGAAAGGAAGACCCACCCTCAGTCTAGGTGGGCACAATCTAATCAGCTCCAAGTACAGCCAAAATGAAAGCAGGCAGAAGAATGTGAAAAGGCTAGACTGGTTTAGTTTTCCGGCCTACATCTTTCTCCCATGCTGGATGCTTCCTGCCCTCAAATATCAGACTCCAGGGTCTTCAGTTTTGAGACATAGACTGGCTTTCTGGCTCCTTAGCTTGCAGATGGCCTATTGTGAGACCTCACCTGTGACCGTATGAGTCAATACTCCTTAGTAGCCTCCCCTTTATATATACATCTATCCTATTCATTCTGCCCCTCTAGACAACCCTAATACATTGACTTTATCATAGTTGCAGGATACAAATTCACTGTACCAAAATCTCATTACTGACTGCTCCCTTCCACAAGGTATCTGAAGGACCAGACCATGCCACATTCATAAACTTTTATTGAATCTTGAGACCCAAACATGGATCTCAAGGTCCATGACATGACAATGAGTATGACGGGCCAAGAAAGTAGGTGGGCCATCCCGTCATGCTCATCTGGCATGTCATATACTTGGCTACCTATCACTGGGCAGAGCTCCCTGTGGTAGCTCTCACGTGTCTATTTGTGGAAACTACAGCCTCCAATCTACAGTTGATCTTTGACAACATAGATTTGAACTGTATGGGTCCCTTTATAGGCAGATTTTTTCCAACCAAACATGGATTGAAAATACGTAATTCGGCCAGGCATAGTGGCACACACCTATAATCCTAACTTTTTGGGAGGCCAAGGCAAGCAGATCACCTGAGGTCAGGGCAAAATCCTGTCTCTACTAAAAATATAAAAACTAGCCAGGCATGGTGGCAAATGCTTCTAATCCTAGCTACTTGGGAGGCTGAGCTAGGAGAATTGCTTGAACCCAGGAGGCAGAGGTTGCAGTGAGCTGAAACTGCACCACAGCACTCCATCCTGGGTGACAGAGTGAGACTCCATCTCAAAAACAAAGAAAAAGAAAAAATATAACTCGTGGGTTTTCGTATCCCATGCAACAACGACATATATGGAGACTTGTTGTATACATGGGTTTTGCAGGGTGAACTATGGGGCATGGATTTTTGGTATATCAGCAGGGAACAGAGAGGGTCCTGAAACCAATCCTCCAGGTATGCCAATATTCATGTTGTGTTTTTTTAGAGATGAAGTTTCCATTATGTTACCCAGGCTGGCCTCAAACCCCTGGGCTCAGGTGATCCTCCCACCTCAGCCTCTGGAGTGGCTGGGACAGTGCTGGGCTCTGTACTTCCATTTTTAAAGAACCTGAGAGAAGCAAGTAGGTGATAATAATGGCTACTTTAAGACATAAAAAAAAAAAAAGACACTAATCTGGTAATATGGGTTCTACTGACATTGCAGGTCCTTCCAGTATAGGAAAGAGGTTTCTGAGGATGGAGAGAACACAGAGGACTCATTCGTAGCTAGGGAACTTCTGGAGCACCAGTCCTCCTATTTCACTGTCTGTTGAATTTTCAGTTTTATATATTGAATCAAATTCATTAAAACCCACTGAAGGACCACCTTTCATGGGCACTAACAACATCAATTTTATAAAAATGAAGGATAACACTTAACACTTGATTTGTGCTAGGCGCTTTTCAAAATGTGTATTAACTCATTCCCTCTAGTTATCATAATCATCGCACTTTCCAGACGAGAAAGCCGAGCCACAGCAAGGTTATTCAGAACTGAAATAGCACAGCTAGCCTTACAAACTCAAGTAGCCAAACAACCCCATACTGTTAAGTGACACATCACATCATCTGTAGTCTGGCCTGAAGAGTTAGTTTTGACTTAATTAAATATGATAATCTAATAAACTATATTTGTGAGTTAGCTGATTATATAAAACAGATTATATAAAAATATCAGGTACTATTGTGGCTAGAAAATTTTTACTATAAAAGTTGTTAATTTAGTAAAAGCTGAAAAAATTCAGCACTATGAACAATACTGTTAGTAGAAAAAAAGCAATTCTCTACTTACTGAGACATTTAAAAGCTACTGATTTACAAGAAGTCATTGGGAAAAAATTGATGCATTTTCTTTGACAAATCATAGTTCATACAGAGGGTTCTTTTATCTGCAGACATCCATATCAAACAAACAACAGGAATCGTTTTTAAAAATTTAAAAATAAGTTGCAAATCACTGAATTAGACAATTTTCAATACAATTTATGTCACTTTTTTAGTAGTTTTATAAGGACATTGTGTAGAATATATCTTGTTGTAGAATATATTTTCAACTTTTACTTACTTAATGATTTATACATTTAACACATATTTCCATACCAGTGGTTTTATATTTACTGTCACTCCTAGGCAACATCTACAAAAATTTTAAGAATATATTACCATAAACCCATGAATTCCAAAATTGGGTATTTATTCTATAGAAATAAAAACACTAACATTAGCACTGTTCATGCAAAACAGAGAAACAGAATTCCCATTATATCAGTTAGGATACAACAGATTATGCCAGCAATAACAATCTAAACTCTAAGGGGCTTAACATCTGAACCTCTTATTTCTTACTCATACTACATAACCAAGATGAGTTAATGAGGGAACTGTGTTTCATGCAATTTTCACTTCAGGAACTGAGGATGACAGAGACTTTGTTATCTATAATACCACAAATTGTTACAACAGAAGAAGAGTGTGATAGAGGGTCTCAGACCACAGAAGTAATTAACATGCATCACTTCTACCTAAAATTCATTTGCTGAAACATAGTATCACCAAGGAGAGAGGGAGGCATAATCTTCTCATATGCCTGGGGGAAGAGAAGATTAGATATAAGTGATCAAAGATCTATCATACCTTTCAATAGAGAAATAGTGAATTATTAGACATCCATGAAATATTATACAGCCACTAAAAAAAACCTACAACCATACCAGATGTTCAGAGAGATTTACCATGTTTTAGAGAGATTTCCATGATAATAAGTAAAGCAAGACTCTGAAAAGTATACATATTATCCTGTGTTTGTAATTTAACCCTAACCAGAAAATCCTGTGTATATGCATATATGTGTAAAAATATAACAAACTACTAAACACATTATAACTATCTCTATCTGTCATGGAGAAAAATAAGAAAGCTTACACCCTAGGTTCTTGTTGAGGGTTACCTAAAGAGAACAGAAGTTAGCAGAGGGGGATTCATATGTGTGGAGTGGGGAAGAGAGAGGTTGAGGGAGAAAGCAAAAGCAAAAAAGGAGGTGGGGAGGATCCAAGATGGCTGAATATGAAAAGCTACAGAGTGCAGTTCCCAGCAAGAACAATGCAGACGGTGAGTGATCAGTGCATTTCCAAACGAGTTTTCACTGCCCACAGACCAGGAGATTCCTGGGCCTAAAAGCACCACTAGTTTTCAGCACGGCTGGTGTCACAGGTTGGTGCATAGAAACTCACACAACTCTGGGCAGCCATTTCAACTGATGCCTGGAATACCTGGGAGACAGAGCCACCAATTCAACTGAAAAGCAGAAGGCTGAGAAAGAGGGAGCTAGGCGATCTGGCTCGGCGGGTACCACCCCCACAAAACAAGCAATCTGAAACACTCTGGATTGGGAGTTTCACAGCAAGTGCAGCTGGACCCAGGATGGTCCAGATCAGTGGGGGAAAGTGTGTCCACCACTACCAAGGCAGTCCAGTGATACCAAGGCAGTTCACACAGCAGGTGGGCAGAGCCTGCATCAGCTCAGCAATGCCTCTGCTGGCAGACTGTGACTAGAATACTCTGTATAGGGCAGGGCATCTCTGAAAAAAGGCAGCAGCACAACAGAACTTATAAAAAAAAAGCCAACCTCCCTAGGTCAGAGCACCCAGGAAAAGAGGTGGTTATGAGGTCCACTGCAGCAGACTTAAAGATACCTGCCCAGCAGCTCTGCATGTAACAACAGAGCTCCCTGCACAGCACTTGATCTCCTAGAAG